TATATATANNNATATTATTATTATTATTATTATTATTATTATTATTATTATTATTATTATTATTATTATTATTATTATTATTATTATTATTATTATTATTATTATTATTATTATTATTATTATTATTATTATTATTATTATTATTATTATTATTATTATTATTATTATTATTATTATTATTATTGTTATTATTGCTATTGTTATCATTGTTATTATTAATATTAATATTAATGTTAATATTAATATTAATATTAATGTATTAATATTAACATTAATATTAATATGTTATTAACATTAATATTAATAATGTATTAATATTAACATTAATAATATTAACATTAATATTAATATTAATGTTAATTAGAAAATGGATAATTTTGATAAGCAGTTTTGTTGAAAAAATAGGTGTCGTAAATTTGGTAAGTGTAATGGTAATTTAATGGTAATTTGGTAGTTTTTGTCTTTCGCTAATTAAGAATTGCGAATATTCTAGCCAAAATGATATTATAGTATTGTAGAGATATCAATTAGATTATCAAATATGGCAACAGTTGTTGATTTGCTAAATTGTGACGCTTACACCGAGCATATCTTTTATAATAATCGATTGAAATCATTTACAAAAAATGCTTGGCCTCATCATCAATCCGTTAATTTATCTCCGGAAAAGGTTACATTTCAAATTTTTTTTTATAATCATATTATAAATTAATTTACTTGATTTTTAGAATATTATTATTTGCATTTCAGGTCAATCATTTCATCTTTCATCGTTATGATTGGTAAAATTTGCTTTTTGTAATTATGTTTGATTATAAATCTTGGCATTTCAGATGGCTCAGGCAGGCTTCTTCTTCGATCCAGATAGCGATAATGCTGATAATGTCAGTTGTCCATTTTGCCTTAGAAGTTTGACCGGATGGGAAGATAGTGATGATCCTTTGTAAGTCATTTGTGCAATAATAATGCTGAAGCCAAGCTCACTGAGTATTGCAGTCTAGTTTTTATTGACGAAATTTGCTTCTTTTAATTAAACCGAGTCATAGATTGGATTAGTAACTCATTTTGATTAATCTTTATAATTTAGCTTTCTTATTCCTTGAATTTAAATGTTGCAATTTTTCAACTGTCGTCTTTTTCTTTTTCTTTTTTTTTAAGGGAGGGGCGACATGACGAATTAGAGAAATTAAAGGAATTAGAAAATTGGAGGAATTAGGGATATGCAAAAAATGAAATGAGGTTTTCGAATTTTTAAAATGATTGGAATTTCAGAGTAGAGCATACAAAACGGAAGGACGTTTGCTACTTTGCACGTTTAGGCAAAGATGAAAAGGAATGGACAGTTGAAGACTTCTTACGGCTTCTGGCTCAACGAAGAGCATCTACGATGGTTCGGCTTGTTTCTTTCTTTTACAAAATTGAGTACCTTTTTCGGCTACATTTCAAAAAAAAATTCTTAAAGGAATCTTATGACCTTAACCACCAAACTGTGTCGTTTCCACCTGTTATATAGGCCTTCAAAAGGAAAAGTTTTTCGAGTCAAAAGTTCCGCTACACTACTAGAAGCTTATCATGTTCAATTACCGCAGGTTGAACTTGAAATTGGCTTGTAAAATATTAGTAATTGATCCTAATTTCTGTTTACTGTTGCTATTTTAAGTCATTAATTGCACTGAAAGCGATCGATGGTGCGAGAAATGCTATGAAAAGCGTGAAAAAGCGAATAGATGTACTGACTGAAAATAAAAGGCAAAAAAAGACAGCGAAGAGGAAGAAGTAAATGTTCGGCTGTTGTCGCAATCATAATTTCTTCTTTTTCATATCAAGATTTACTGATAAGTTATTGTTAGCTCTTGACCTGTACTGTTTATGTTTATGTTTGCTCCATTTATACTGGAGCTGGTTAAACCATGTTTTCTTTGCTATGACAGGGATGTAAAAGTTAACATATTATGTCAAGATAAAGTGAAAGAAAGTTAAGACAAAGAGTATTAGTACTTTTAAGACATCTTTCGTGACGTTTTGTTGACTTCCGTGATATTTTGTTACTTTTATACTTTTAAGCCTTAAATTAACTTTTCGATTTTCTAAGAGAGCTGTAATTGTTGCCAAAGAGAAATTAGTATATTTCAGGGGAAAGTTTTCAGTTATTCGACTTTAGTTTTACTACTTTCCAATGTCAAGTATGTGAAATGCTTCTTACTTTTAACTTATGGAACAAATACGCTTACTTCATCTGAAATATTACTGACTCTAACCTACTGTATTATCCTGCATTTATGTCTTTCGAAGTGAAAATGTATGCATTTTATTAAAATTATCATCGAATTTGCCCAGATATTCCGTGATACTTAACTACTGAATAATTCATGAAATGAGTAAAACATTATTGATTGACTGCTCCTAAATTCAGATATTTTTGTCATTGCTCGGAGCAATTTGTACTAATTTAATCGAATACCATTTTCTTCAAATGCAATGTATTTTTGTCTTTATGTGTCACTGTCGTTGCAAATGAGAGGGAAAAAAAAATTATTTTCACCATCTTGAAATATGTTATTATAACATATGAAAATATGAATACAATGATATATCTTTAAATATATTACAATAGATAGTCCCAAGAATATAGATCCAGGAATTATGAATGCCCAGAAAATACAAACTCGAGATTATAGATTTCTCCATCTTTGCTCGATATTTTGATAAAATGTCTTCGAATGCTTATATGTATACGTTTTTGAGTGAACAAAGATTTAAATATTTGATGAAAATCTCGAATGAACGGATATCTAAGTATATGTTTAAGTAATATATTAGTAGATTATTTTGCTCCACTCAATAGTGATAGCAGGATGAGCTTCCGAATAATTATACTGTACAATAATGTTCATTCGAATGATCGATTTTTCAAATATTTATGGTACTCTCAGAAGGTTAGCATTCGTTGACCTTATGGAATGACCCTGGTGAGAATGTTTTGAATGATACTCTCATGCATCCACAATAAGAAGTCACTACATATGAGATGTAGCAAACGTGATCTTATATAAAGTAATCTAGCGTGAACACGTCACGTATAATTCATGCAATTGAAATCGAATGTAATGTGGACAAATAAAGATACATAGATGTAGGGAAGTGAAGTGCAGCAACATGCGACATGCATGCAATGTAATGTAGAAGAGTGAAGTATAGTGACATGCAATGCAATGCAGAAGAGTGAAATATAGCGACATGCGACATGCAATGCAATGAAGCGTAGCCGGATGCAACGTGGCGCAGTGTGTGAGAAAAATGCAGCGAATGGCATCCAAATATGAAGCGCACACATTCCTCTGCAAGGGCTGCAAATGAATCGATGCCATTTTGGCTATGCACAAACACGCACGCACGTGCATTGTGCTATTGCAGCATGTCCACGTCTCTGTCACTTAATATCTGTCAACAATACGTATATTTCAACCATTCATCAATCTATTCACGTGTACGTTTATGAGAGTATAGGTATATGCATATTGCTCTCAATTAATTTCACTCGTTAGCCAGTTTATTTATCACAGTTATGGCTATGCATTCATTTTATTTGTGTATGTATGTGACAATATAGGCAAGTATGTGACACGTTTATATATATCAGTTCGTGTATTTGTGTGTTAGTATAGATGAGTATGTAAGTTTATTAGAACTGGAAGATACCAACAATTCTTTTTACATGTTTGAAATATGCATGCATTCATCTATCTTCCTGTGTGTTTTTATATGTTTTTATACTTTTTTGTAATAGTTTTTTAAGGTAAAAGGAGTAATTTGATTAGTAAGCAATAGCTTTGTAAAAAGTGACATAAGCCTGAAAGATTTGGGACATCATAGTTTGTTCATTTAGTTTTCACAGTTAATAACTAATTCTTCGAATGTTAAATCTTTCTTGTTTGTTTCATTTTTTGCTCGTAATGGTTCACCTGCCATATTTTCATATTGTTAAGATATGTGAACACTTTTTTTTTGCTTTTATTTTGTCGAATTGGAACAAAGACCAACGATCATTACATTGGTCCGTCCATTTTTATAATCACTGTAAGGTGTTATTATTATCATTTACTGATACTAAGCATTTCTTAGTCGTTATCTTCTTATCATTATTTATTTATTGCTTTTAATAAGTTGTTGAAAATGATATACTTGATATGCTGCCACTGTAACTCACCTTTGTTTTGCTTTTCAGTGGAAATTATCTGATAATTGTTGAGAATTGATATAATGTAACATAAAATATGCTAAGATAACAAAGTAAAACTCATTATTCGGATCAGTTTGATAATTTCAACAAAATATCTAATAAATGTTTTCGCCTTTTGTTTCATACCTTAGTTATTTCGTTTCACCTGTCAAGGAAGTGTTAACATTCGCAGACATAAACGTCATATGTGTTATTTGGTACATTTAAATGATTTTCTTTTTCTTTTGTTTTCGGTGCAAACTGGCAGCTTCACTTTTACCAGAACAAACAACAACAGCCCGTGTTGATAACAGCAAGGCAGAGCTATTAGTATCACGTCAGCTCGATCCTGTTACGGCTGCTACTATGGAACAGGTAGGTAGATATCTTTTAATTTTTAATATAGATATAAATAAAAGTATTATACATATAAAACAAGCAACTTATATTGCTTATATATTTAGTATGGCAGTAAAGTATTGTTTGGTTGTTTATCAAGCATATATTTATTCAATGAATATCAGGCATAGATTTATTTATTGAATATTTATTTATTCAATGAATAACTATCTGCTTACTAGGCAATTAGGGAACTGTCTACTAATTAACAAATTAAAGCATTGCATTATCCATTTAATATTAAATTGAGGAATTAATATCGAGTGGTGTGAGTCAAATATTATATGTTTGCAGTGATATCTTGCTGATCTTGAGCAAGATATCACTGCAAACAGCTGATTTTGATCTTGAGGTTAGATGAAAAACCCGCTGATTTTGACTTTTGCTGATCTTGAGGTTAGGTGAAAATTGAGGATCAGTGAACAGTGTACTGTGATTTATTGCTCGTTTGTTGCTAGTTTGTTTATTGCTAGTAATTTATTTGCTAGCTGATTTTCGAAAATTCCGCATTATTTCTCATTATTCCCAATCTTCCTTCCCATTTTTTTGGTCTTTTTGATTTTGTTCCTGTTTTAACTTTTCTTCGAAGTTTCTTAATCTTTTTTTTAGTTTTTTTAGTGCACAGTTTTGTTTGTATTTAAGTTTAATTTTTTACTATTTACTTTATGCAATTTAATATGACTTTACTAATTTCAGATATCATATTTGGGTTGTGCAAAAATTGAAAACCCGAGTAATGAGACTGAAATTCTGAAAATAATGCAGCTGTTAAATAAGGAACGTTCGGAGAAGCCGATAGATGTAATATTATTTATTCCCGAATCATCCTCTGGCATAGTTCGGTTTGTATTCATTTTCTGTGATATCTCTACAATACATGAAATACTTTGATAAGGGAATAGGGAGTGCCATTTCTTGTATTAATACTTTTTCACTGAAAACATTAACAGTGGTGTTTTTTGTTTGGAGTTTTACTTCCATAATCGTTTTTTTTTTTATTTTTCTTCTCTCATATATTGATTTCAGTAATTTTATCTGTTATTTCTCAAGCCATAATTAACTAAACATAGTTTATAATTGGTTCTTATTATTCTATTAATTCGAAATTATATTAACAGTTCAGAAATATTTTCTGAAATTCAATTTGAATAAGCCGTTGTAATGCAACGGTGGTAATGTCTTTACGTTCTTGCTTGGTGACTAGAATGAGATAATCCTGTTTATCAAATAAATCCTTAACCAATATGCGACATCCTGTATATCCTTTTCGAATAAAAGGCCAAATGTGATAAGCTTTTTCGGAACAAGTACTCAGCTTCATATGATCGCTCAAAGAAGGAATGGACGTTGCATATTGCAGGGAATGCATGTTATGCTTGTTTGCGTTAAATTTCAACTTTACTGCTTCATCCACTAACATATATGCATGCGTGCTGCAACAAACTCTTGTTTGTAGAATGTGTGATGGTACAACCAAATCCGAAATGGTCAGTTTTCCAGTTCATCGAATCAAATTTTGTGCCCGTGGTCAGTTGGATTCAGCGGAACGTGAGTGTTTCGCACTCTCTTTTACACAGAAAAATGCGACACCTACGGATGTTGCCATACATCAATGCCATGTTTTCCGTTGTCAAGTCCCAGAAGCAGTAAGTTACTCTTATATCGCATTCCTTGTCTATTCCTCATGTTTGCTCTTAGCAAAATCTTTGGGGGGCTATTCGTTCGCAATTATTTTTGTATTTTTTCTCTTTGATAATTACATTTCCATCTGAGAAGACAACAATACCAGAAGTGTCTGATCAATTCGTAAAATTTTGGTTGTCTGTGACAATGACTCGATCGTACTGAATTCAGTCATACATGGCTTTTATGGAAGAAACTAACTACGCTTTTCGTTTTCATTTCTTAACAAAAAATATGGTTAACAGTATGTGATATTTCACTATTTTAGGCCGGAAAAGCACTTCTTAATTTTGCTAACGCTTTTCGAAACAATGGCACAACAAAGAAAGTACCTTCATCGAAGTTTTGTCGTACATCTCAACCGAGCAGTGCTGATGAAGAGACATCAAGCTTGGAGGGTGCCTTCAGTCCTGGTGGTGAAGAAGATTTCCAGTTTGATGCATTTCTTGAAATGAGAGTGAGATATAAACATTCAATGGCTTTTTGTTCATTGCTTGCGTTACGCTAGGGAAAGTCAGTGAGATTTGTCTTCTCGTGTTCCTGAAACAATCTAACCAAATATTGTTTGCCCTTTTTCCACAGCTTTATCAGGCCAGTATTTGCTTTTTAAATCCTTGAAATTTCCTTCTTT